CTGAGTTTGAAGATAGTGTTGTCCGATTTGATTGTATTTCTCTTGAATTTGATAGCAAAATTCTGGTAATTTTAGTTTGGATAAATGTAGCCCTGTGTTGGAGTTGTTGAAGTAGTAGGTTTTTTTAATGTTCTTTAGCTATGAGGTAGAACAGGTGAGCACACATCTTTATTTGATAATTTTCTAGAAATGCCAGTTTGGATATAGCTTGCAATGCACAGGACAGGGCCTGAGGTCCTGCTGTGTGTCAGGAGGAGCTGCAGAACAGGCTCTGGAAGGCCTGGGAAAAGAATGTGCTGCAAAAGTAGAATCATGCTTTCTAGTAGGTTTTAAAACACAGGACAAACCCACCCTCCCAAAATTTGAACTGCTAATACACTGAAACTCAACTAGTTTTTAATCTATTCCCTTTTTAATAATAGATATACTTAAATTTCATTTGCTTTTAAGTAGAAAATGTCTTTAAATCCAACTTGAAAGTAAATATAATATATATAAATATAATTGAATGACTGTCACAGCATGTGCTGTGGCTGGTCTGGAGCAATGCTGATACAACTTAGCCAGCTGGTGGGTGCTGCTTATGGAGCTGGAAAACTGTGACTGCCACCTTTCAGGGGAGGCATGCTTCCCACTCTTTGCTTTATCCAGCTGCCAGTTTTTCCCAAAGTTTATAAGAACTTAATATATTTGTAGCTTCTTCCTCTCTGTAAAGGAGCATTAAGGCTGATCAGCAGATTCAAATGTTGGAGGGGAAGGCAGAAGTAACAGAAATTCAGTGTCTCTACTCCCTCTAATAAGCTTTGTTTCCTTAGGAAAGCTGGCTAAGAGGCATGTCCTCGTTCCAGCTTTGTTTTTTGCCTTGCAAATTTGGAGCTTTGCTCCAAGAAGTCCTTACTGCGTTTGTAATCTCCAGTGTGGTGAGTTGAGCCTTGGGGAATTTTTCTTCAGCCTAGCATCCTGAGGGATCATGAAGAATGTAACATTTTCAGTAATTGATAGTCACACAGGGAATGGAATAGGAACAGTGGAACTGAAAGACCTACTTGGGTAATGTACTCCAGAATCACCACCTTTAGAATCCTCCTGCACACCCTGAAGGAAGTTGGATCAACCAGCTGGGTTAGTTAACTTAGGGAGTCACTGCATAAATGTGAAAATGAAGGAACTCTTAATGATGTTCATGGTTCAAGAAATGCTAGACAAAAGTAGCTATCACAGGTGTTCAGTTAAGTTTCATGTGCTTCATTGCAGGGAAGATCAAACAGTAATCTCAAGCTACAGCAGTACTTTGCTGTAGCTCAGGAGCAGCATTCTTCTCTGTCATACAGTGCATATAACTAACCTTTCCATTTTCCCTCCTGAGAGCAGATTTAAAGTGTAAAAGATGCTGTTGTCAGCTTATGACAAGAATGAAGGACCACTTGGCTCTAGTAGGCTTATGACAAGAATGAAGGACCACTTGCCCTAGTAAGCAGATTTACAAAAGATGTGAACAGAGTCTTCTTGGAAAGAAGTGTTGGAGAGAAAACCCCATTCTGCTGAGATCAGTTTTGAAAGATGTGAACAGAGTCTTCTTGGAAAAAAGTGTTGGAAAGAAAACCCCGTTCTGCTGAGATCAGTTTTTAAAAGCAGTGTCTTTCACTTGGCAATGACGTGGTGGATCAGGTAGTGCAAAGAACAAACACATATCCATGAAGCTGAAGCATGAATAAAAGTATGAAACTTTCAAAACTGTATGGATATTATTGGATTGTTAAACATTGAATAGCCTTTCAACTGTATGGATATTATTGGATTGTTAATCATTGCATAGCCTTTTTAAGGAAGCTGTAGTGCACATGTTCCTCTAAATTGATACAACTGCTTCCTGTAAAGCTACCAAGTTTTTTATTTAAAAAAAATACATCAACCCTTTTAAGTAGATAAAGATCATGGATCTGAAATGAGATTTGTATCTCTTCAGACCGAAAACAGAGCCATCAGATTATTGGCATGCTTTTGCAGCTTCTCACCCAAATGCAGGGCCACGTGTGTCTGCGTGCAGTGCTGTTCTAGGTGTTCTCTTCATGCAATCAGGCACCCACTTCCTAAGTTTTACAAAATGTGAACCCAGTCTCACAGAAGAGTTGTAGCATGTCAAGTAATTCATCCATTTAAAGGTTAAATATTGCTCTTTTGAGTACAGATTATGTGATTTGAATAGTGTGAATGTAGCATTAATAATGTAGCATTATCTGAAATGGACAGTTACAAGATCCAGTTCCTCCCCTATTTCTCTCTCCACTGGCAGATGTCCTAATTTCTGCAGGCAGGTAACAATCCAGCATTTTTTTTCTAGGGGAAACACCTGCAACAGGACAGTCTGGACACCTGCAGCTTTTCTCAGGAGCATGGAATGTATGGAGGCAAATGTTCTGATGCTTGTAATGTGCTCCACACTGTCCACTGTGTTTGACTCCTCAAATTTCTTCCTAAATTCCTAGGCCTGTATAGCATGGAAAAATTTTATAAGTAGACCATAAATTCCATGCATTCAGGTCATCTTGTTCATACAACCTGTTCATAAAACCACTGGGAAGATTTAATAGCTAAATAGGTGACTATTCCTTTGTAGAGCTGTAGCTTCAAAACTGCATTTCAGTTTCAGGACTTTACTGGAGTAATTTTGATCCGCTACATAAACTAAGAAAATGTCCAAGTTCTTAGAATCCCCAAAGATTGGGGTAGCAGTGAGAGGAAGAGTTACCTTGGGCTGGCTGCAGTGGTTCCTGTTCCAGCTGCTGCTGTACAGTTTGTGTGTGTTTCCTGCCACCGCAGCAGGGTTGGCTCAGCTCTGTGTGCAGCATTAGCTGAGAGGCTGCAAATGTGTTTGTTTAAAAATAGAGACTATAAACAAACACTGATGTCCTCCTCGTTTATAAAATAAGGTCCTCTGTTTTGGTAGTACCTCTGCAGTTTGAAATGTACATAACTTCACCCTCAATAACCCCACTTTATTTCAGCTGTACCTTTCTAGAGAAGACTTACTGTTTTGGATAAAACCTTTGCCTGGAAGGGGAAGTGGAGAATGACTTGGTGTTCCTCACACCAAGTTGGTAGAGAAAAGTTGAGCAGCCTCATTTCATCCTGAAATAAATATCTGCAGTCTGGGGATTCTTTATGAATTGTTTTTCTATGAAAGATGGCAAAAATCTTACTGTATGGAAGAGTGTGAACTCCAGTTACATTGCTGGTTGAGACTGTGAGGCAGTTTGTGTTCAGTGGGTGTAGTCACCCCCCAGGGCAGTTTGCAACATGGCAGAAGAGTTGTTGCTTTGTCTGTCAACACTTCTTATCCTGTTCCTCCTTCTGCACTCTGGAGCAGTTACCAGAAATTCTAGGGTGCTTGTGGTCTGAATATTTCTTCACAGTTAAGCAAATGTGCTGGTATTGATCAGGGAAACATTTAAAGATTAAAAATGTTCATCTTGCTGAAAATGGAACATTTTTTTTTGTATTGCATGTAGGAGCCAAAAGGAACTTCTATATTCTTGTAGAATTGCTGAAATTTATAGAAAATTGGATTGAGCCAAGAATTGGCAGAGTTTTAAAAATGGTAACCTGTAACAAATGTCAAAGAAATGGATTTTAGTTAAATGTGGAAAAATGCTAAGTCACTTTGTGTAAAAGATTCCAGCTCTGTGTAAGACAGCTTAGATGTTCACTGGGGAAAGGACAATAAAAATTGCCTTGATTCACATGAGAGGAGCCAAAATAGTTGAGCACTGAAACAAGTGAATTAAGGAACATGTGGAGTTGTCTTCATTCCTGGTAGATGAATGCATTAAGGATATGCTGAATGTTGTAGCAGACTCTGCAGCACTGCTTAAATTGTAAGATTGGAGAGTAGTCTTAGAAACCTTCTCAGTTTCCTCACTTTGCTGCTTTTGAAGGACGGTGAGGAAAGAAACTGGAACAAGAAAGGGCTGTGCAAGGGAATTCATCTGTAAAAGCTCACATCTGCTAAATCTTACATGGTGAGTGCAAAACTTGCTTTGTCCTCACCTTTCAGTCCTCTGCTGTGAACATCTGTAATGTCATGGTGTCTGTGAGAGGGGATGAGGCCTCGAGGTGAGTGCAGGTGGCTGTGCAGGTCCTCCCTCCTCCCTTGGATGCTCCATCCAGTGAGTGCCTCAGTGCAGACAGCAGTGCTGTAATGGGGCCAGACACACAAATCCTGCCTGATGGTGCCTTAAAGGACTCGTTGAGGAAGAACTGGTTTACTTGTTAAATCAGTAACTTTATTTCCTTGAAGTTATTTAAATGTTTAAAATGTCTGCATGTGTCTCTTAGGATCGTGCAGGGGCAGGAGCTTGCATGTTTAGCTGCAATGGTTCAGAAAGTTTCTGGCAATGTCATCACTTTGGTCTTTTGTT